AAATATATATATATATATATATATATATATGTTATTTATTTTTTTATAAATATATTATTTATATTGCATTTTTATAAATTTGTTATGTTATTTATTTTTTATAAAAAACATGTATATATGTTATGAAAATAAATAAAAAATACTTGTATTTTTTGTTTTTTCTTTATTTAAATTGGTATATTTTATTTTTATTTTTATAATTTATTAATTTTTAAAGAAAACAAGTCAGATCGGATCAAATCCAAAGATCCAACTTACCGATTAGATTTGAATTCAGATTGAGGCCTATTAGATCCGATTGGATCTTCGGATCTACCATGAATAGTGTCATATTAGATTCAAATATACCTTGATTCAAATCCAATCTGATCTGCTTGCATCCTTATCATCCTATCTTGACCAACACCCTTGTCACCAGGGGCTGAGCCAGGGGTGGCACCTAGGGTGCTTACGGTTCGGTTAATCGAACCATGCATGAGCTTTTTTTTTTTTTTTGAAACCAAACTAGTCTCATTGATTTTTGAAGAAAAAATGAACTAAAATTGAATTGAAACCAATCAAATAATAGGTTGGTTCAATTTTTTATTGGTTCGGTTCTTCATTTTTTTAGTTTTTTATGTTTTCATATATATTAAATACTATATATATAATATTTAATACATTATAAATAAACAGTTAATATATATATATATATATATATATATATATATATATATATATATATTGATCGGTTCAGTTAAATGTCACTTTTTTCTTTTAGGTTAATAAAAAATTGAACTAGTTCCAACGGGTTTAATAAAACACCAAATTGAAATTAAACCAAAGGGACCAATTCACACCACACGATAGTCCACAAGTATTTTAAACTGCGATCAAGTTGTGTGGACTAGTCTAATCCACACATATAGTGGTGTTCTATAGGTGTGGTGTGGACTAGACCTGTTCATGGGCCGGGTGGCCCGACGGGCCGGCCCGGCCCGGCCCGACCCCCGGACGGGCTTGAACAGAATTTTTGGCCCGCGGGCTTAACCTCGGGCCAAAAAGCCCGGCCCACATAAA